CTCATGTTTACCGCGACGCCCGTGACCTGTTCTGACGTCAGACGTGTCGTTACTTCGTTACTCCCGCGCCCCGCGCCCCGCGCCACTCGCTCCAGTTCCCGTTCCCATATCGCATATATCGCGGAGTAAATACACGAGTCGCCGGGTGTCGCCTGTCGCCGGGTCCGATTGTTTAGCTTGCGAAAAACTGTGATACATATATCGAAAGTTCATTTAATTCATGTGCTTCGAGACAGTTGCTCCGGGCGAGTGAAGTTGGCCGTCCGCGATTTACGAAATTCTCTCCGCCACCTTCGCTTCACTTGTGTCTACCTGCGCGCGGAAATCGCGAGATGTCACGGTGTGGCGTCATGGCGTCATGGGCGTCAAGCGGATCGTATAGTTTCGTTCGTAGTTTCTTCGACCGCGACGTAATTAGTTACCGCGTCGCGAGATTAATACCGGGAGTGCCGTGTGCCTTTAGTGTCGCGCGATCATAAGAGGAGACGATATCGACGATATCGTCGATTTTCGCTCGTGAACGTCGTCGCGTTGTGAGTGAGTGCGACAATGGACCAACGGAGTAACGGAGGACGATCTAGGAGAGGAGAACGGGGCCTGGGAGGCATCGGGCGACGGCGGAGCGACCGTGGGGTGAGTAGTTGTTAATTTTCTTATATTATAATATATTATATTTTGCCGTCCTGTCAGTTCTGTGGTGGACTCCGCCACTTTCGTCGTTTTTAACTACGGTGCAATTTCGGGTCGAGTCTGATCTCCGGCGTATGCGAGATATTACGTCGCGAACGTTGCGTCTCTCTCTTATTCGCACGGTCGCAGTATTATTTGTACAATTTTTCGCGGATGAATTATGCGAACTAGTTAGCACGGAAATATCCAGCCGCTTATTGCGGCGCCGGCGGCCGCGATTGTTTCTTACATTTTAAAATCAGATATTTGTTAAAATAATGTTTTAAAAACGGGCAATAATTATTTACTTCGATAATTATTTACTGTCGATTATCTTGGACGTAGCTTTAATATAAAAATATTTCTTTTGTTACAGATCAACGCAGAATTACAACTCCGCTGTTGCGCATCGGCCGGTGAGGTATTTTTTGAGCAGAAGGGATAAATATATGTATTAAGTTTATTTGTATGGTACAAATTAATACAAATTCAGTTCTTCAAATTTCTGTATTTAATTTTCTTTTTTTCTTTTTTTTTTCTTGTGGTCTTTCTAGCTTAATGCTAAGGTAGCACCGCCACGATTTTCTCCGAAATGGCACGGGATACAAAATTGTTATTAGTGGTACAAATTAGTACAAAATGGGTACTAAATATTCTGATAGGTCCGGTTTGATTCTGCCGATTTGGTCCTGCTAGCTTAGAAGAGGTCATGCGCAGATCTTTTGCTCTATTGAATAAACCGTCACAAAGAAACCGTTTGTGAGGGTCTTAAAGAAGATAACATTTATTGAAATTGTAACGCATTTAATATCCAGATAAATGTTATTATTTAGGGGTGATGAGTTAACGTGGCTCTCATCGGCAATGGCCGAGATACAAAGCCCTGAAAGTTAACAAAGTGCGGCAATGTAATTCGTTCGTCTCACAGCACCGGTATAGTCGGGTTGAGTGATTTCGGCGTGCGCTCAGTGAGCGGCGGGAATAATTCATACGAAAAGCGTACTGCGGCGGGAACGTGTGTTTGACTATAAAATATGCCCTCCTGATATTGATGCCTCAGCATCAAGCGCGAGGGTTTTATGCGGTCCGCGGGGTATATGTATACATATATATATATATATACATACATATATAATGGCGGCGCGCGGGGTCTGATCAGGCCGAAATATAAAGCGGAAGAGCGGTATAAAATTTTACTCGGCATCGCAGGCGCAGATAAACCCGTCTATAAGACCGGCGCGGCGCGCGTGGTGTCTGATTTGCTATTGCCTGGGTTTCGCTAAGCCGTGATATAACGGAGATATCGATTTATCGATGATGGACAATACGCGATGTCGACGTTTTATTCGAAAGCTCGCGGTGAATCTGTCATCACGTTTTCACGCTTTTGATTTTAAGTAACGAAAGAAAAACTCGGCGCGAGGCCGAGTGCGTATATTGAATATTATATAGCTGAGTTGACTTGAATATTTTGGGCGGAATATAATTTACATCAAATACAACACGGTTAGTCGGAAAAGCTATATTGCAAAGTTTATAATCGTTTAAAATTTAATTTAAGCTATATACATGCTACAAAGATATGTCGGATTTAGAATAGCGAGCTGGAGGTGTTCAGATATTGGTTTTAATAAAGAGAGACAGAACGCTCATCGTCCATAAATCTAAATGCCTCTTTCGGCGATATTTCTTATGAAAATTGAATTATAGGTTCGTAAAGCCTTGAATGGCGCGGTAGGTATAAACAAGTTTGTAGGTCTGAAAAAAGTATATGTGTCAAGGAGGGACGGCAGTATCGTAAAATTGGGGCTATATAACGTAATATGCAATAAAAATCGAATTATCTACTATCTGCCGCGAGTAATTTCGATACGAAAAATTATAGGCGAAAAGGCCAGGATTTTATGACGTGTTGGGTAAAATTTCGATTTCGGGCAAATCGGGTCGGAAATTGAGATAGGCGAGAAGATGACTATCTTTTATTAAGAAAGTAAAGAGATTTTTGATTGAATATTACAATGAATATTTATGATTATTGTGTCTTGTTGTGTCTGAATTGCATCTGAACGTATATCTACTATTGCAAGTTTATTTATATATTTTTTGATATGTTAACGCTAATTATAATACACTGGAGGCTCGTTACTTGATGAATATCCAAATAAAGTGTTACGGGAGGCAACTGTAAAACGGCGATACTTCAAGAAATTAATATTTAACTATCGGAACGTGATCGATATCGTAAAGTTGTATGAAGTTCTCGAGCCTTGATCGCACCAGGTAATTTAATTTTATCGTCGGTCTACAATTTTATCCTCCCGTTCGTGTCGCGCGTTCGTGTCGATTCAAACGTATTAGTAAAATTAACCTCCGAACTTCCTTTACGATTTCTTTCGCTTCTATTAATGAGAGTGTTATCACGTTCGATCGGCGTGTCGTTTGACTCTCGATTTCGCGACGGACGATTCTTCCGATCCGTCTCGATTCGCGATATTGCGCGTACCCCTTGCACATCGCCATGCGTAAACATTGCGTAATTTTGGTTCGAATTTGTCACGGAGAAGCAGTAAAATATTGGGAGCATGCGAAAACGTCGAGGAGATAAGGAGATAACGGATGTTTGCGGTGTAGACCGCGTGTCCGATTTGTCAAGGTGCTTTTAACAGTAGCGCTCAAAAATTTAACGCCAACGGCGAAACAAAGTTTGCAGTTCGATCACGCGCCTCTCGACTTCCATTAATGGACTTTTGTACTCTCCGGACTCCGAAACAGTTCTGATAGCAGTAGTCAGAGCGGGAAGGAGGGGGTGGGGGAGGGGGAAGGAGGTAATCGTGCCAAACCGCATCTGCTAATACAGCCCGTGCATCGGGCTAAAGCAATTCCGCTAATCTAGACTGTCCGGTCCGATAACGCGGCGGGAAGTGAGGCAATCGCGTGGGTACCCGGCGCGGCGTCCCGTTTCTCATTTTCCTTTCGCCGATAATCTGCAGAAAATCGTTGAATTATCGAGGTGGGTTTCTTGACAGCTATCTCTTCCCCGCTCACTTTCGCGGACACTTGATTATTTCCAGATCGATAAGTGTTTCGTTAAGCTTACTAACAACCTGCCGACACATTCGACATATCTTGGACAAAAATCGATATCGAATCGAAAATTTGACGAGGTGAGAAGACGCGCGAGACCCCCGCGGCGAGACGCGCAGCGATAGTTAATGAAAAACTCATTTATGAAACTGGCGTGGTAATGCCGCATGTCGGCACACGGAAGCATAAATACTTAAGTCGCAGCTGGTAGAGAAATAGAAGCTTCTTATATATGTATACATATACATATATACAATATGTATACGTAAGACGCGGTGGGATAGAAACGGAGAGGATGAGAGACCTCATTTCGTGTATACTTCATATCTCGTGGTAAATAACGCCTTGTGTATCATTTATTGTCGCGAGGCAAAGATGGAACGGAAGTACCTTGATTATGTTTGTCTTAGTATCAAAATGAAGTGCATCCCGTCAGGGAGGGGAGAATAGATAGAGAGAAAATGTCACGACTCCCGTTTTATCGCACAGGATTGAAATGTCGGCTCGTACTCGCAGACTGTGACGCTTTCTCACGCTTTCGAATCACGAATTTGGTCAGATATTTTACGTTGTTTCATTAAAATTAGCCTTTCATCTGAGTTATACGTTCAGTTAAGCACTTTAATTAACGAGAGAACGTTTACTCTTTGCGTTTTATTTACCGTGGACGCTACGTTACATTTATTTATATAGCAGCCGTTTGCAGCAAACACGCCGACGTTTTTTTTATTATCTTGATTGACTTGGCGCTCGATTAGCTTAATTATGCTTATAGCGGCATCTAAATGAAGGCCAATTGTGAAAGAATAACTTGCATTAAACTAACATAGAATTGTTTACAGTATTAAAGCAGCTAAATGATAACTTGTATTTACAATTTGGGACGTCAATACGAAGGGAAAATTTTAAAATACGACACGAGTAGGAAACTTTGTGTTAACATAACGTTTCCTGAGAGACGAATTAGTTTTTTTTTCCGACAAAAGTAGTTGACCTGAAAAAATTTTAAAGTACATTTGCTAAAACTGCATACGGACATACAGATTGCGCTGATGGATACCTCTCTCGATCTTCGATAATTTTGCAAAATCCCATTTGCTACATTTTTACCCGATCTTTTTGCGTGGCTGAGGATCGGTGATTCCTATCGTTATCGATATTCGCTTTAGTTCGTGTCAGAATGCGTTACTGCCGGATGCAAAATATCCGCGTTCCACTTCTTCAAAACATGAAGAACTAGATTCCGCGATTACACTTATCGCGATGGAGATATGCAGCCGCGTATAGACGTCTATAATCTCTTTCGCGGTTCAGATGACGATTTCAGATAGCCTTTCCTGTGATGGGAACCGGGTATTGATCCGCCGACTGAAATTTACCTTTAAGCTAACGTCGAACAAATCGAGACATTGTTATATAATTGAGAATTTTATATGTGCGATAAAATCAATTCTCTATTCGTGAAATTGTGCAATTAAGTAAAAATATCAATACTATCGGATTATCAATTAAAACTTGATTTTCATTCGATTTTAAATTGTCGTTGAAATCCAGAAGTAAAGATTAACATTTGTTTGCAAATGGCGAAGGTAAAAAGTTGAATTTAATTATTGAATTTATATTTTAAAAGTCGCGCATTTGTTGCGAACCTTTTTTTTTCACTTATCCCGAACATATTGTGATGTACTAGACTGCCGCGGCTAGAATTGCATCTCAATCGTATAAAGAAGGGTATTATTTGCATAGCCGCCTGGGCGGAAACGCTCTTCTAATTGCAATGCGCTTGCAAAGCAAATCAGGGAAATTAAGCTAGCTCCGGCATGTATTTTGTAGCGGTTAATGAAATATTTATTACTGGTACGAAATTTACTGCGATAGGAAATGGATATCGATCTATCAATCGGAGTTTACTTCGGGACCAGCTTTACCGCGGAACTCTGAGAGGCGGATATTAAAGTTTCCAGCTTGACGAAGGTGGTTGGAAAATTTTTATATGATATTAAAAAGTATGACTTTTGCAGAAATGTAGAAATCTGTAATTACGTTTAAATCTGTCTACAGTGGCACTCTAAGAAGCCGGGATGTTTTCTTCGAAAAGCCTTTAATGTGTTTTGGCATAAATTATAATAATTTTAATTATTTTAAAAAAACATTCGTTAGTTTGTACTTTTTTTTATCAAGTTTGTACGCAAACTTTGTCAAGGTTTGTTTTAAAAATTGTAAAACGGTCGGAAGCGAGATACTGTTAAATTAATATACGGGTATAATAAAACACAAATAAAACTTTTACAGATGCAAAGTCCGCAATGGTTGTTTCTAAATGAAAGAAAAATAGATATATTGCCCGACCCGTGACGTAACGAATTCAAAATTTACATTTAACAATTCAGCCGCGGCTAACAATATCCTTGCGAAAGTAACGTTTTTGTTCACGGTCGTAACAATGTGTTCCGCTTAAAACATTGCTCGGGCGGGATACTAAATTTAATAAAAAGAAACAAACGATTTCCTGAGCCGGCCCCTTACGAGCGTTAAATGTCACACAGGAGTCCACTAGAAACGATTCAGAGGCGGCATGGTAAATTTGCATACGGGCAGTGGGTTATCTCCTTTG